TTCAATTTTTGAGATGCCTATAATAACATGGTTTCACTGCCTTTATTGTTGGCCGTACTGTTATTAATGCAACCTTTCTTTATAAAAAATTCAAGCAGAAGTGAATTTGCAGCACTCCGCGATCTGGATGGCTGGTGTGTATTTAATGCTACTTATGCAGTTCCTTGAAAACAAAGTGGCAATGGAGTTGACACGATCTGAATTTGTAGAAGCACAAGAGGTAGGTGGCATGTCTCAGTATGGTGCATTTCTAGGTTCTTGTATAATGATATATATATATATATATATATATCAGATCTGTTTAAGATGGCAGTCTTATATGCCCTGTGGTAGGCATACTTAAGTTTATTATTAACTCAAGTTGACTACATGTAATGAGTATGGTCAAATCAATATACTTGTGTGTTGCAGGCATTGGTACAGATGAAAAATTGGTTTATGCGCTTCCCAACAATTTTACAGACATGTGAGAGCATCATCGAAATGCTCAGAGGGCAGTATGCTCATTCTGTTGGCTGTTATAATGAGGCAGCTTTCCATTACATTGAAGCTGCAAAGGTAAACTTTTCTTGAATTGCATTATCCATTTAGAAGACATGCTATATGAGCCAAAAAAATTGAAGGTTCATGATGAGGGAGCAATGTGCTAATTAATTTGTGTACACCACCTTGTATGTGAGATTTTATTCTGTTTAGCAAAGGGTAAAATAAAAAAGAAGGCATATGGGTATAATTTCCCATGGCATCTAAACTAAGTGTTACTTTTTTTTAATAAGCAGCTCACAGAGAGCAAATCCATGCAAGCTATTTACCAAATTTATGCAGCTGTCTCCTACATCTGCATTGGGGATTCTGAATCATCTACACAGGTAAAGGTTTCCTCTAATTACAATTCTGTTGGGTTTATATGTGATTGTAATTTAATGTTTGATTTCACACGTACTTTTATTTGTTTTTCCATTGGATTATTTCCCATCACTGAATAGAAGTTTGGATGCAGGCACTTGACTTGATTGGACCAGTTTACAGAATGATGGACTCATTTGTTGGAGTTAGAGAGAAAACCACTGCCCTTTTTGCCTATGGTCTTTTATTGATGAAGCAACAAGATCTACAGGAAGCAAGGTAGATGCTCAAGTCCCTTATCATCTGCTGCGTTGGTAGTATATATTTATGATTGTTGTTTCAAAGCCAAAGAAATTTTGGCATTGGACTGCGGTATGGAGATAAATTTATCTATTGTGTTTTCTTAGTCATTTAGAACGAGTCCATTTCAATTTTCTTTCCTTTTTAATAATGGATAATATTTGCGAGTGACGTATCAAATTTTTCTCAAGCTCTGTACATAGAGAATTAATTTACTCCTTGAAATGCCATGGATGAAAAGCACACTAACTCTCCTTATAACATGACCTTTGAAAATCCTTCAAGATGTTAAGTGATTAATTGTGGCTGCCTTTTTGTACTTTCACCTTTGTTTGCCCTACATATTCATCCATCTGCACAAAGACACGAGCACAAACTAATAAGATTGATACTGAGGTATCCAGGCTCTGCTTCTTCATTAATTTTGTTCCATTCTCGGAGGTATGCTGGGAAGAACCTGTAAATAAACTTATACCTGATCATGTCAGCTGATATAGTACCAGCATATTTCTCATTATGAATTCTCTCTCTCTCTCTCTCTCTCTCTCTCTCTCTCTCCCCTCCTAATATCTCAGTTTGGTGCAGAAATCGACTCGCCAAAGGTTTGCAATTGACACATACTCATTTGGGGAACCTTCAGCTTGTTTCCCAGTATTTGACAATCCTTGGGAGTTTGGCACTAGCTCTTCATGACCCCGGACAGGCCAGAGAGATCTTGAGATCATCCTTAACATTGGCAAAGAAGCTTTCTGATATCCCAGCACAGATATGGGTGCTCTCTGTTATGACAGGTAATATATATTTACATTCCTTTTGGATTATGCTCAGTATCTAGAACTGGCAATCTGGTTTCTCTGTAAGTGGAACAGAGAGCCCTACCACACTGTCGGTTGTGACATGCACTAACTGGTACTGATAAAATCTATGCTTCTTGTGGACTTGCACTGTTATAGGATGTTTTCTAATGTTTAAACTTTTCACTTCTTGATAATTGTACATATTATAAAACATGGCAGTCCCATGACCGCATTCTGCATTTATGTTTACCTGAGTTCAGGAACAAATTTTGTTGGAATCACCAAAAAATTTAAAAAAAAATTTACATTTCAAGTATCATTTTAGGTCATCTCTCTGCGTGTTAGTAAGTATGTTGGATTTCACTATTTAACTGACTCGATTGAGTTGATTTTAACTGGAATCTTCATTCCATTGGATTTATTCTGCTGATATATGCTATGTTTCTGGTAGCTTTGTATAAAGAGTTAGGCGAAAGGGGACATGAATTGGAGAATCTTGAGTTTCAGAAGAGAAGGGAGGATGATCTGCAAAAGAGACTTGTAGATGCACATTCATCCATTCACCATATTGAACTAGTGAGGGCAACACATCTCTTTGTTTTAGCCTTGTGATAAAATATAATAAAATAAAATAAATTGCTTGACACACCTAGACAATGATAAGTCTTTTGATATGAGGCACTCACTGATCATTTTTCTTGTACATGTAACTTGCAGATTGACAAAGTAAAGATTGAAGTCCAGCAATTTCATGAAGTCGACATCAATCGTGCAACCATGGGCCCATCCATGAGTGCCAATCTTGACATACCAGAATCAGTTGGTCTGGCTGCCCAGTTACCTGCTCCTTCATCATCAAGGCTAGTAGATTTAGACATGGGAAGACGTGGGAAGAGGAAAGTTTAGATTCTGACTTGTACAGTTCCACATCCTCTGTATTTCCCCTTTTAGGAAAAATGAGAGACTATAGCTTAGAGGAAAAATGAGAAACTTGTACAGTGTACTATAAAGTAGGTTAACTCCAGCAAGAAAGGGTATCTTTAGCATTGGTACGAGGGATGTTGTATATTTTTTTTAATATAATTTATCAAGCAATCTTTACCATATTTACTTGCCATAGTGAATGCAACACAGATGCTTATTTGCTTCTGGACATATTGGTCGTATGTCATGCAATTGATTTGATTACATGGTCAAAATTGTCAGTAGGATGAAAGTGGATAGATTACAATTTTTAGATGAAATTATTATGTACTTCGACATGTGATCAGGAAAACAATGCTGATAGCGAAAACTGTAGAGTATCTCTTGCTCCATGGATTTGCTTCCACAGTGAAATAAAGCTCAAATGTCTTCAAATTCAGGATGAGAGTAACTTGAACTCATCTGCTGTGTCTCTGCTACTGTTCTCATCCCTCATTAGCAGTTAATCCCGAAATTTCTTTGAGTGGTTTCCATACAAATTTCCTCCTGCAAATACATTGGTTTTCCGACATTATTGCAAGTATGATCTCTGCTATACAAATGTAGGCATGAAGAAACAGGATTTAAAGTTTCTTGGCTACTTAAAAATGCAGGAAAAGAAAAAGACATTTGAAAATACCAGTTTCCGCATTCGGCAATGACCCTGACCTTGGGCCGGAGTGTGGGAAGCAGAGCAAGAAACTGCAGCTCTGCCTTTGACAGAACCTGTGCACAAAAGTACATGGGGCAACATTGGTTTGATTTAAATTCCTATTTTGCTTCCTCTTTGATCGTACAGGTCTCAAAGAATAAATACATTTAAATGCATAGTTTACTTCAGCACCTTGGCTTCAATAATCCAGACTACAAGGCCTTTGGCCTTTGGAGGCAGGGCAGCAAGCCTGTAATCAACCTCTGGTGGAAAGTACCACCTTGATATGGGCTGCTTCCCTAGATGAGGCTACTTTCCAACAATACATTAGAGTCAGAAGAAAACAACAAACAACAAAATGGAAAATGTCCTCTACAATTTTGGGTGTAGATCGACAATACAATAACATAACATGTCAGATATCTCAACTCACCGGGCAAACAGGATGGACCTTGGTGAGGGTGGTCTCAGGATCACCGAGGCCTCTGGCACTAAGGTCCAGGAAATAGTAACCCTGGTATCTCAGGCGGTTAAGATAGCGGCCCTCGTAGCCTCCCTCATGGGGAGAGTAGACAGCCAGGGCCTTGTGCTCCTCCACGTCAGAAAGCCAACGGCCGAGATCAAATCTCACCAAGTCTCCTCCTATGAAGTCCTCTATACTTCTCCCACTGCACCTTATCATCCCAACACGCTTGGATGCTTTACCATGTCTTCCACTCAAACCCATCATAAGCATCATGTTTCTGTGTCCCTTGAGCTCATTGTTTATGCTGCAGCTGTTTCTTGGCGGTAGCTGCTTGTGCTGGAGATTGGCCGAGACTGGTAGAATTGTTCCATGCTTGAAGCAGTTTGCAGCTGCCATTCTGTTTGTTGCCTTTTATGTTGCAGGTTTCTTTCTATCTTGAAAGAAAGATGGTGATGGTGGGAGATGATGCCATTAGCGGGAACGAAATGGGAAATTAGATAAAGGTTGTGAAAAAGCAAATGCCAATACAAAATATGCTGGGAGTTGTATGGTGGACAAACAAGATAAGAAATCTGAAAACTCTTTCTCCAACTAAAATGTATGGTGCTTTTATTTGGGGAAAACAACAAAGTTCTTAACACATCTTAATAACTATAGCCTTGTTTTGATACCTTTTTTATTTGTATTTAAAAAATTTCTTAGTTTTAAAAACAAAATGAAAACTTTTAAAATGTATTTTTGAAATATGATGTGGTGTGGTAAGTAAAATTTTCATTTTCAAAGTAAAATATGCATATAGAGAATAAGAAAAATGCTAAGCACAATCGTTCATATACGCTACATATGGAGAAAATTAATTAATGTAAACAGATAATTTTATGAATCTCATATATCCGTTTTACTAACGCTTTTAAAATTCCTATACACCCTTGATTCATTGAATAAGGTCAACTAAGGCAAGCACTATTTGAAAAGCAATTGAAATGTGTTGAACAAGAAATTTGAGGGCAAATAAATCGAACATATATAACATAATGAATTGTAACACGGAGGAGGTTTGTACCCCAAAACTTGAACCCTCCCAACTAAAACTTCAAGCGAGCAAGGCAACTGCTCGTACTATACTCTCTATTCTGAAATTATGAAATAATATTTAACACAGATCGACTCTTCCCCCTTTTCCCTTGCCTCTGTCCTCGTACATTCTTCCCTCCCTGTATAAAACCCACACAATTTGAAGTTGCTGAATTAGGGTTTTCAGTCTTCGTATGAACTAGTTCATTGGGTCGAAGAAGAAAGAAGAAGAAAGAAGAATGCTGGGTCCTACCGCATCGAAGTGGTACAGAGCCAGCGGGCTTCTCTTCCAACTTAGACCCCATCGCGGCTTCAAAGCAAATTCCTTTAGCACCAGAACCGCCTTCCATGGAAACCCAATTCTCCTTCCAAAAACTTTGACTTCGAACAGCGTCCGTACAACATCAAGACTCCCTTTCCATGTCAACGCTTTCCTCTCCGATGCCTCATCAGCTCCTTCCCCGCCAGATGGCCGCTCGTGGTTCTCTACATCGCCGGACCTGAGAAATCCAACTCCTCCAGTTTCTAAGGGAACTTCCGTCGAACAGATTACGAACGTTAAGATCTTCCGAACTCTCGCAAGTTACTTGTGGATGAAAGATAACTATGAATTCCGTATCAGGGTCATTGCTGCCTTGGGCTTCTTGGTTGGGGCTAAGGTTCTCAATGTTCAAGTGCCTTTCCTCTTCAAGCTTGCTGTGGATTGGTTGACCTCAGCTAATGGCAATGCTACCGCACTTGCTTCTTTCACTGCCGCCAATTCAACCCAGTTGGCTCTTTTTGCAACTCCTGTTTCGGTTTTAATTGGATATGGGATTGCACGCACGGGTGCTTCTGCTTTCAACGGTACTACGCATGAAGTAATTGCTTGCTCATACCATTCCTTTGGATATTTATGCTTCAATAACATGTTCATGTATTGAAATTTGGAACTGGGTTCTTGCCCATTTCTAAAGTTTTTCAAAATTGTATTGTGCAGAATTACGGACTGCTGTGTTTTCTAAAGTAGCATTGCGAACAATCCGATCAGTGTCTAGGAAGGTATGAGTATGGCAGTCCCAAAATGTCTTCTATCGAATATCCAAGCCGCATAAAACCTTAACCATGTTCTAAGTCATTGCAAATTCTTCTTGGTTTCATATTGAACATTCTTGTTAATCTCTAAGAAAAAAAGATTCCTTATATCCTAAAATCCTTTTTGTGACATATGCAATTTAAACTTTTGCAGGTCTTCTCTCATTTGCATGACCTTGATCTTCGGTATCATCTTAGGTATTCATATAGATTCTTTTCCATGTTTGTTCAGAATGTATTTATTAGTTGCAGACGGGCCAGTATGTTGTGGCTTCTTAACATGCTCCAATTCATGATTTTGTTGTCATTTGGGGAGATATTAGTTTATAATAAAAGCCTTTTCAATATAGTTGATTTTGAGCTATTAGTTGCACTCTAACATTTGCATTATCATGTGGCTAATGTAATTTCAGTCGAGAAACCGGCGCACTAAATAGGATAATTGACCGTGGTAGCCGTGCAATAAATTTTATTCTATCGTCTATGGTGTTCAATGTTGTGCCCACGATCTTAGAGGTATGGATCTGTACCTTAGATTATTGTTGAGCTATTTTGATGTGTGTAAAGACACTGGCTGGACTTAGTAATGTAGTGCGAAGCGAGGTCGAGGGTTCCATCTTGCTTTTGTTTCTTGTTACTAAACAAATTTGACAGATTTGACATGTGCCTTTCCAGATATCTATGGTTTCAGGTATACTGGCTTACAAATTTGGAGCACCTTTTGCATGGATCACTTCACTGTCAGTTGCTGCATATGTGGCATTTACATTGACTGTCACACAGGTATTGTGTCTCTTGCCAGTTCTTTGTTTATAGTTTCTTAGGAATGAATTGTTAAAAAAAATTAAAAAAAATAAAGGTGCCTGAATCGTACTAGTTAATCATTTTGAACAATTTCTATTTTTTTTAGCTATATATTTACCCGTTTATTAAGCTGCTGATAGTTTTTGTGTTGCGAATTTTGAATTAATGATTTCCTTGTCTTAACAGTGGAGGACTAAGTTTAGGAAGGCCATGAATAAGGCTGATAATGATGCTAGTACAAGGGCAATTGATTCACTTATTAATTATGAGGTAAGGTGATGTACTTTGTATATCTTCTACTCACTTTATGCAAAATTTGATGCCTTCCATCTCCTTTATTCGAATTATTTTTCTCTCGTTTCATCATCTGATGCTGTTTTATTTATGCAGACTGTAAAATATTTCAATAACGAAGCTTATGAAGCCAGTAAATATGATGAGTACTTAAAGAGTAAGTTGTTTTGGTCTTATCACAGTTTCTAGTTTGTTAATCCTGAACTAATACATTGTTCTGGAAACTAATATGAATTAAACCCATTAGTTCGTGATACACAAACTTGTAAAAGCTTCTATTATCTTGCTGATAAATTATAAGCCATGAATTGTCATGCCACATTTGGTCCTTGCATGTGCACACTCTATAGTGCTGAAACATGTATTTCTGGGACATTTGGGTCAAGACCAATTTCCAATTTAGGTTGGGTTGTGTTTCAGATGATTTTACATGTGCATATGTATGTATCTATCATATAACATCCGCGCCAAATGCACGTTCGGGTCATTCAGGTCAAATGCACGTTCGGGTCATTCAGGTCAAATGCACGTTCAGGTCATTTGGGTCAAATGCACGTTCTGGTCATTTGGGTCAATGGCATACAACATGTATTTGTGTGTGTTGAGAGAGAAGAAGGAGAGGTCAGACCTTCATATCATACAAAATGTTCATTGTGGGGCTTTACTCTGTGTCTTCCAGTGAAATTGTTCAAGACTATGAATTAACTTCAATTATTTTGAAGTAAAAAAAAAATGTTGTTGTGTTCTTTGCTTAATAATTTAGAATGGCTTTTCTTGCCATATGTGGTCAAAGAAATAGGTGATAATTACTTTAGTTTTTTTCAATTTTGAAAATTAATGATCATTGGGCACACAAAAAAAGGGTCTTATACTTCAGCTAGAGGAGTGACTAGTTGGTTCACCGAACAAGAACCAGATTTGACTTGTGCACAAGCTATTTTGTAACTTTTCATTCTAATTTTTTTAAATTTTTTTACTGTTTTTTATTTATCATAGTATGATTGAAACATTATTTTCAATTGTATAAATATGTATTTATATGCAATGATACTAGTGACAACAACTGATGTGGCAACTTCTTATTTACGGTGAATAATTAAGTTCCAAGGTGGACCCAGATAGAAAACAAATGAAACACTGCTACATCAGTTAGTGTTCAAAAGTTGGTGTCTTTGGTATCAGTCAGCCTTAATTCTCCCTTCTGTTTCATGCATTTATGAGTTTGCATGGTAACCTCAGGTGGCCTTCCACCAAGCCAACTTTTATTTTACTTTATTGAATGTCCTGTGTGGTAGTTCTTTGTATGGTGTTGGACTTGTTTGTTTCTCCTTGAAATATTTTTTTGTTAGTTTGACATTGATAATTGTGGTTTTTACATCAGAAGGTTATTTTCATTGTTTCTTAATGGTGCTTCTGTTGCTTGTGGTTATTCTATCTTTCAGGGTACGAAGATGCTGCCTTAAAAACACAACGCAGTCTTGCTTTTCTGAACTTCGGCCAAAATATTATATTTAGCACGGCTCTATCAACTGCTATGGTGCTGTGTTCAAATGGTATTATGAGTGGCAATATGACAGTTGGTGATTTGGTAATTTGCCTTGGGATTCTCATGTTTTGAAGTTTTTTTTTTAAATCCTGTTTGCCAAGTGATTCACTGATAGTCATTCAAATTATGGTTGAACCCAATATACAGGTCATGGTGAATGGGCTTCTATTCCAGCTATCACTTCCACTCAATTTCCTTGGTAGTGTTTATCGTGAGACTATACAGAGTCTTGTCGACATGAAATCTCTGTTTCAGTTACTGGAGGTAAATATAGGAACTTGCAATCTGGTTTTCAGTGATGTGTGTCTTGTTATATTTATTTTCAAATTACACTGACCTCTTTTACATGGCTTGAATCAAGGGACTAATATTGGACCACGCGATAATTCTATTCACTTTTTCACTGTCACAAAATCTATGCTCTTTTGTTGTAATGGACAAAATCTATTATCTTTTTATTTTTGAACCTCTTTAATGAAGAAACAAGAAGGACATACGCACTCTACTCTTAATTTATTTACATTTTGGTTTGTATTTATAAAACTTTTAAGGTTGATATAGTTTTGTCATGCAAGCTATTTTGATAGTGGTTTTTGGTAATACATTGTTGAATTGGCCTTTTCTTTATCTGCTTTTACTTTATTTGTTGTTATTTATCGTAGGAAAGGGCTGAAATTGGTGACAAAGATGATGCAAAGCATCTGAAGTTAAGTGGGGGGAGCATTCAATATGACAACGTACATTTCAGGTGGTTGATGCTTCTCTTGCTGTTCTTATAGTGTTAATGGAGCATTTCAAGACCATAGATTTTTTATATAAAAGCTCTTAATTTTCTGAAATCAAATGCTATTTTGTGTCAATAGCATGGGAGAGGCTGAGAGTCAGAAGACTCGTTTCTTTTGCTATTTAGGGTCTTTAAGAAAAAATCCTCACCTAAGAAGACTTAAATTTGGCGGGCTAAGGTGAAGGCTTTGCTTGCCTCCCCCTCTGAGGCAGCCTTCCTCTCTCTAGCTGTTCTATCATTAATATATCATCTAGTACTTTTATAGTAGTCTGTAGCTAGCATGATGCTAAAAAAAACGATTTTTTGGACTACAGATGTGATCCATATGTGACAAATTTAAATTAACATTTATCAAATGTGATATTATTGTTACTGTGTAATTAATGTAATCCATTGCTGATGCACTACATCTGTTTTCTATTTGTACAGTTATCTGACAGAAAGAAAGATTCTTGATGGGATATCATTTGTTGTACCTGCTGGGAAGAGTGTGGCTATTGTTGGAACCAGCGGAAGTGGTAAGGCTTGTCAGGATTTCCTCTTTGTGTCTTGGCGTCTTCCCTTGATTCAAAATTCCTTTCCTCTTTAAATTCATTGATTGATTGACGTGAAATACCAGATATTAATGTTTTTTGGGTGCTGCTGTGGAGACATGGTTCTACCACAGTTCTGGTGTTCTTGCTTAATGTTAGTCTGGAAGTTATTAGGATAAGCAAGTGATGCCCATGCATATCTAATTGTTTTTATTTTTTGTATTAATTATTATTAGTATTGCATGATGCAGCATATATCTGTTTTTTATTCAATATTCTTGGATCATCATGAATATATTGAATTGGCATCTGTTTGCAGGCAAGTCAACCATTCTCAGATTGCTCTTCAGGTTTTTTGACACCCATTCTGGAAGTGTAAGACAACTGATCCTGTTTTTTGTAATTATCTATTGGTACAATATTGACTTAATTTATAAAGCATGTAGCTTTCTTAGCGTTGGAGTCTAATCTTGATGGTTCTAGTCATGAGTGGTAATCACTTGACAGGTTTTGCCTTGCTTATTGCATCATTGCTGAAAATCTTTGTGCTGGTTGCAATTTCTAATCAGTTAGACAAACTTTATGATGGTGAAATATAATAGGGGACTTTCTGTCGATCTACTCATCAGCTTAAAACATGTCTGAAGTTAATATAAATTTTAATCTGCAATATTCCCTGAAAAATAATGATCCACATAACTAAATAAAAATTTGTATTTGAATTATGAGCATATATTAGAGATACCAAGGAACGGTTAAATTAAAAGGTTTAAACCAAAAGAAAGTAGGTTAAGGACCTAATTGGGTAGATTAAAGAGGGCAAGCAAGTTGACGTTGAGAAGAGAAAGCTGTTATGTCCCATTTAACCTCCTCTAGGCTGCAATTTCATAATGTGGGCATAATAATTAGTTTGTTAACTCCAATTTTCTTGTTTTTCTGAATATACTTAATTGTTATGAACCAAAAATCAGTCTGTATTCCCGGCATCACCACCAGGAACAATTTAATAAAAACCCGTAGCTTACCATTATATTATGTTTGTAGTTCACAATTCACATGGACATTCTTCCAATTGAAGATCATAATTTTTGTCATTCACAGATAAAGATAGATGGTCAAGATATTCGGAATCTGACACTTGAGAGTGTACGGAAGTCTATTGGCGTTGTGCCCCAAGATACAGTAAGTTTAAATAAGTAAATTTTGTTTTGTTTCTCGTTTTAGTTGGTGCTACTGCAAACTGAGAGGTTGCTTTTTGGGATCTTGTTGGTCGTAAATAGTAACATCCTGATAAGGAAATAACTTGTGCTTCATTGGCAGGTACTTTTCAATGACACAATATTTCATAACATTCATTATGGTCGTCTTTCAGCAACAAAAGAAGAGGTATGCGATAGACTAGTATTGCGGACTGTTGACTCTACTATGCTGTTTTCTTGGCCTAATGGTTATTCTGTTTAGGTGTATGATGCTGCTCGTCGTGCAGCAATACATGACACTATCATGAAATTCCCTGACAGGTATTCTACTGTTGTGGGGGAACGAGGGCTCAAGGTGAGAAGACTGAATATGCTATTTACTAAGTAATTTGTTTGCTTTAATAGTGGGCTAAACATCCCTCTTTAAGAGCTAGGCTGGGTTGGGGTACTGCATGTGTTAAATTTTTGTAGAGTTGCACATTTACCTCCTGCAAAGTCAATTCTTTGTACTGTCTTTTTTAAATTATTTGTAATGATCAACCGTGTAACATGCTGACCCAAGAAAAAGGGGAAAAAAGGAATTGCAACTGTTTGTTAATTTTCTTTGGTGGACTTTTGAATTCTGAAAAGTATGATGATAATTCTGTGCAGTTAAGTGGTGGTGAGAAACAGCGTGTGGCACTGGCTCGTGCATTCTTGAAAGCACCTCCAATTCTGTAACCGTTCTAATCTTTCCTCTGTCATTTTTCTTCTATTTGTTCATGCTGTCTGCGATTTTGTATCCGTGGATAATTTCGAAGTTATCCTTGACTTGCTAATGAATTAAATCTTTTAGGAGAAAGTAGGCCACAGCAATCTAATATATCCTGAGCATTTTATTATTATTCTTTTTTATTTGACACCCACAGGTTATGTGATGAAGCTACAAGTGCACTAGATAGCACCACGGAAGCGGAAATATTAAATGCATTGAAGTCCTTGGCAACTAATCGAACTTCAATTTTCATTGCCCATAGGCTAACCACTGCAATGCAGTGCGATGAGGTAACATTCTTCTACCTCTGTTTCTTCTCCTTCATTTTTTAATGTTTTTCTATGTCAACTTACCACCTCTGTTTTTGACCTGAACATCTATTGCTTTCTAATTCATTCTTTGGCTCAGTTTATGCACAGAGAGTGTTGTATGAGTTGCTATTTGGTGAAATTAACAAACTCTCTTCTACTATATACATACCTTTTCATTCGTAGAAACCAAATGCATTGAGAGAGCAATTTCTGCCATCTGTTGAACTCTGAATTATTAAATGTCTTGTAGTATTGACTAACCCTTATCAAAGCCTTTGATGTTCTACCCATATCCTACTATTCCTTCATCTTTTCCTATTCCTTTTATTATGTCGCAATATCTTACTCTGTGTGTCTTGCCAAATCAATTCTCAGATAATTGTTCTGGAGAACGGGAAAGTGGTTGAGCAGGGGCCCCATGATGTTCTCTTGTCTAAGGCGGGGAGATATGCACAGCTCTGGGGACAGCAAAATAACACAATTGATGCACTTGATTCCAGCGTCAAATTGGGGGCGTGAATGTTGTTCCCATTCCTCCATCACTCTCTCCCTCCAGAAATAAGAGTGGCTTAAGAAGTTGCTTTTCTGTCTGCCTTCCAGTTTTCTATTAGCCACCTTGGATATTGAATTATAGGTATATCAATGCACTTTGGAGTAAGCAATGTTCTCAGGTGCGCTTGAAAGATTGATAAATGGCGTGTGTTTTTCGCCATAAGATCCTTGTATGATCCTCACTTGACTATTCTCAGTTCCCTTTCCTATGTCTTTAAGTTCCAAGGACGTGCTTCTGTGATGAGGTAGGTACTGGTTGATTACTCAAACAAGAATGTGATGCTTGTAGGCCAGTTTGGTACTGGCTGTACCTTCTGATAAATTGTACAGAAGCCACCTTAGCTTTGAGAAGCATGCTCTGTGTTACTGGGGCAGCCTACAAACAGCGGAAGCAATTGTGTAAAGTAGCTTACTGATAGCAGAAGCAGCTTCTTAACCATCTGCTGCTGCTTAGGATTGAATGCAATTCTTCCCTTTTATGCATCAATTTAGGAAGGATTGAAGAAACTTTTTTGTTCTATGTTTTAGTCAAGCAGGACATCTTCTCAATTGTATCACTTATGCACTCTTTGTATCCAATGCAATTGGTTTTGTGCTTTCAGTTCCATTTATTCATGCACAATTTGTAAATCAGAGTGTAAGTTTTGGTAATTTATGTTTATACATGTATCTTCTACCTTTCTGCGCAAATTGTGCCGAGCATTGTGTGTATTTGTTGTTCTTTATTGTGGTTATGGAGTGGAATGTAATTTAGCTTACATGTACTTTTATCATATCGAAAACAACATTGCCATGCATTAGCATCGTGCCAAATCTGGCGTAACAAATGCATGTTGAACAAGTTAGGAAGTTACTGGCACTTATAAATGGAGAATTTGATCACCGTACAGTTGTCACAATGCTCGTTGCATGTAACGCTAACCTGAGCACCTAACCCGGTCACCGACAAGAGTACCTGGCTTATAAATTTATCTGTAGAAAAGACTCTTGATCACTTGACTCTGAGAGTGTGCCTTGAATGTATGTTAGTACTTGATGAAGATCCTTGAAATGGAGATGTGATGAGGATTTTGCCAGTTTTGAAAGAGTTGTAGGGTGGTGAGCTGCTTTCAATTTTCCCCTTTTGACAAGAGGAAGTGTTCATTTGGTAATTTACTCTACTCTCTCATTTGCTTCTACCAGAAGTGCTGCTTTATCTGCTTATTAGACATCTATTCTTTGTTCAAATCCACCTTCTATATAGGATCTGTGTCCATAACTGCAATTTTACTATGTTTTTGAACAATTTTCTTTCGAGTTTCTAAGGTCCCTTTGGCAAGCTTTCCTGTCCATGTCAATCTTTTATTTTAATTACAGTGATTTTTGTTTTTCATGGAACACCCAAAAAATAGAGTTCAAAATACAAAAATTACTTCTGCTGTCGAATGGAAAAAGGGGGAACTAACGGAGATTTTGCAATCCTAATAGTGGCACGCTCGCACAAACACAAGGCGTTAGAACAATTCAAAGTCTCTTGTGGCTTGACAGAATTTGACCGATCCCTACCATATGGTCTATGTAGGCTTTTCATACTCATTACCCTTCTGCATGTAGTGTTAACATAAAATGGAAATGTGGTTTGGCCCATTTTTGCTTGATGGAAAAGATAGAAATATGGTCACCTTGCAAATCTTCTTTCTTGCCTTCTTTCTGCGGTAAATCTAGCAAAGTAAGTAAGAGGCATCAGAGATGAGCTGTAAATTTGCTGGTGCTGATGTGGGTGCAGCCGTTACAATGTATTTGCAGAATTACCAAAATTGAGTCTTTTGTTTTCCACCCCATCCCCACCACAAGGGGTCAAAACAATCGTCAATAGTAAGTCCTGTATGATGTCCTTATTTTATTTCTACTCATGTAGACGTTTATAAGCAGAGTGGTTTTAGTTCTAACTTCACTTCAGGTAAGCTATTTTTCTCATGTTCTTTCTTTCTTTCTTTTCTATGGAGTAATTTTTCATGGCAGTAACATGGAAAGTAAAACTTGTTACAAAAGCTGATATGGTAATAGTAGCAGAAAATTATAAACATGGGTTGATATTACAGGGATGTATAAAATGTGGGAGGGAAGTGAAGTAGTTGGAGGGAGAAGGAAGAGTGCCCGAATATTGGCATTGAATGAGGTGAAGAGGAACAATGAATTCTCCAAATCCGGTAGCAACGTCGTTGGCGAGAATGGTCAGAATCAGGCTCATGTAGCAAGAGCAGCAGCTTCTGCTGCCAAGAGAGGCCCCAAGCGCAAAAGACTTAAAGATGTTGGCCTATCATCTCAACAGGTCCCTCTGTCCCTGCCTTGCTCTTACATGTATTTATGCGTGTGTGCACACGCGCATATATAAATTGGACCTCTAGTTTATCTTGGGATGCTGATTTGAGCTTCAGGGTTCTTACCATAACTTGCAGCTTCAGTGTTTGATGCTTTTTTTCTCATTTTGAATTGCATGCAGGATGGTGAAGATCAAGAACAAGAAGACAATTCGATCATGAACGGTGAGCCTGTTCTTGTTATATAACATAGATGTTAACTGAAGTCAAGTGATTTTAACACCCTAATCATTTAGATTTCTGAATGTGGTAACTTAGTTATTGTTCATATTAATTAGATGAAGCAGAAAATCTGTCATCTGATGAGCAAGTGCCACAAAAACGCATATTTGAGTTCATCCTTGATACGCTGCAAAGGTTTGAGTGCGTTTTTCTTTTCATGTTTCCTTTAATCATAAGTTAATCAATTTAATTGTTTGAATTACTAGCTAGAAAATTATTTTTAAGGACGTGGATTATTTACGCGATATATGGTTTTTTATCCTAATCATTCTGCTTTACATAGGAGAGACGTATTTGGAATATTTGCACAGCCTGTTGACCCTCAACAGGTTAGCTCTATACTTTGGTTTCTAAACTTTTTTTGTTACAGATGTTCTGCTTCCTTTCTGACTAAAAAACAATGATCTGTTTCTTGCTTTCTAAGGTGAGGTCCTATTACTCAATTATCAAAGAGCCAATTGATTTTGGCACCATGAGGGCAAAACTACATGAAGGAATGTACAACAACTTGGAAGAATTTGAGGTTCACTCCCATATAAACAATTTCCCTCCTAGCTCTCATTCTTTCTTCTTCTTGTTATTGCATTCAGGAGAAGGAAAAAATTATTATCTCTTTTGTGTTTAAATTGCACCAAGCTTTATTTGTAAGTGGTGAAACTATGTGCAGGCCTCTATATGTTAATGAGAGAAGTGAGGAAGGACAGAAAATTTATTGAAATTTTGATATTATGTTGTAGAACATTTTATGAAGTATTAACTGATTTTTCATTCCTTTGAATTAACAGCATGATGCGATTCTGGTATCCAAAAATGCAATGCACTTCAACTCATCAGCCACCGTATATCACTTCCAGGTGGGCTCATTTATTTGACATGATGATACAAGAGTACATGCATATCAATTGTTATCTATCTTAGTTTTCTTTGTGAATGCTAACATAATGCTTTCCAGGCTCAGCGCTTACAAGAACTAGCCGAGGAGCTTTTCAGGGATCTGAAAACAGATCCTGAACGGTTTCTGTTAGAAAACTCGCTGAAAAGAAGATGCCCTGATAGGAAGCCCCAAAGTGAAGCCAGAGGTTTATGCAGAAAGCATGCTACGCCAGGGAGTGTCAAAAGAAGAAAAACAGATTCGAACCCTGGTAAGGGGGGAAAAACATGCTAAGTTGCAACATTGTTCTTCTGAAGGCTTACCTCTTCTTGCCATAGATGTTATCATTGAACTTACTGCTATAGTTTATCAACTCATGATTGGATGATAACTAGAACAGCATACTTGGAAGATATTTGGAAGAGTTTCCATCTTCAGCCATGCATGGATTGAAAAGGAAGCTAATTTGGTTTCATTTTCCCTTGCTTTGCGCAGGATTGGGAGATGGTAGGAATTCAAATTTAGCCGAAACTCAGCGGCGTCAAACTTATTGGAGGCCTTCCAATGACGATGAATCTTTATTCTCAACTGTCTACAAGTTCCCCAAATCACTTTTTCATGTAAGTTACCATACATCCTGCTTACACGAGAACTTGGTCTAACAGATGTTAAATTCCATGATATAAGCTCACCTGCATAAGGAAGCACAGCATGTTAGTTGCTTACCAACAAAGATTTTGCGTAACTTATTCACTGATATGTTTCATATGCAAAGAGAAACAGACTTTTACTTGGCCTGCACTTTGTTCCATAACCGGAAGAGTGTGGCAGCTTGTTCTGGATCCTACCTCTTTCTCTGCTTGTGTTAACTGTTATGGAAGGTGCTTTTGCTGCCAATCTTATATACATCAAATCAGGGATAGCATTTATTAAATGGTTATGGAACTTTATAAAAGTGTTTGAAAATCAAAATTAGCCCACCAATCTGAGTATAGTATGCTTTAACTTTGAGATTATTTACTTCTGAAGTTTGTGAGGAGGAGGTTATGTATGATAGGTTCAAACAATAATTTTTGCCGAACTTGTGTATGTTGAGATATATAACTAGATTGCTTCTTGACATTGTAGATTGATGCTGGTTTTGGATATAGAGAAAGTCTCATGCGGTTTATTAAAGATTTGGGGCCAACAGCTCAAATGATTGCCCAGAGAAAGTTAGAAAGTCTTATTGAAACTCCAAATTGTCAGTCTCAGACAACCCCTCCAGTCCAGACCCCAAATGATCCGGCTTCCACCCCATCTGCCCCAGGGGTACCTGGTCATCCTGCTGTTGTTAATACCGGCCAAACGACTCAAATGCAACATAATTCCCTATATAACTTCCCAAGGGATGCTAATGTTTCATATTTTCATGGTGATGCTTCTGCACGAAGATATGCCCCCACCAGAGCTGGCATACGTATCAATGAGGGTGCTAACAAGGGAAATATGATTGTTCCTGGCACATCCAGATTAGGCATGGAGAGCAATCTAAATGACCCAAAAGGGAAAATGATTCTTCAGGTAGCCAAGGGAAAAGACACTTATAACAAAGCTTTGCATGAACAGATGGCCATTGATATTAACAAAAACATGAACATCCCTGGTCTTACCACTGGCATAGGACTTCAGGGAAGTAACATGGAAGGCAGAGCTCCTCAAAATCAAAACAGCAAGG